AATGAGCCAACCCTTTACCATGCGGTTCATGGCCACCACAATCTCCCTTGCCGTGTGGAACTCATTCATCACCTCCACTTCAAGGGGAGCCCACCAATGCCCTGACTGATCGCACCAGTGCCCTGTGAGGGAGAGGTAGGCATGATCTCCTCCCCAGCTGCTCCAGATGGCCAAGGTGAAGTGCAAGGCTACCTGCGGCCCTGCCTTCCACAGCTCCTCCCTCACATACTCCCTGCAGGCCTCATACAGGGAGGGCACCACCGTCCTGCTAAAGATGGTGCATGCAGGCACTTGGTAGGATGAGGCCACAAGCACCATGAGCCACCTGAACCCTGGACGCTCAACAAAGAAGAAGGGCTGGCCATCCAGAGCAAGCATCTCCCCAATGCTCTGGATGACCTCGCTCACCTTGGGAACGCAGCACCCTTTGTCTCTGCCTTTCCCCCACTGGTCCAGGGTGGCCTGCCTCTGCGTTGTGGGGATGGGGGCTTTAGAGCTAGAGGGGGACTTCTTTTTGGGCATGCTCCCACTAGTGCCAGGCTAAGGAGGAACAAGGGCAAAGGGGTCCTCCCTCCTGAGATGCAGCAGCATTGCCATGGTGTCAAAGTGTTTCACCTTCTTGCCCCAGCTGATCTGCTTTCAGCAATGCTGGCAGGTAGCATACAAGGGATCATCTGCCACTTCAAAATGATTCCACATTAGACTACCCACTCACTTCTGGGTGGGGATCCCACCTTATTCCCCTCCTCAGCAGGCAGAGGCACAACAATAGGAGGAGCTGAGCCACCTGCCCCCACAACCTCCTCCAAGATGCCTTCTGGAGAAGGAGACCTGCTGCTAGGGGAACTTTGAGGGGTGTGGAGCACAAACTAAGACTCCCCCTCCTTCCCCAGAATTTCCTTGGCTATGGCACACAGCTCCCCTGCTTCCAGATCCAGCTCCTCCTCTGGCACTGGAAGGCTCACACTGGTAACTAAAATAGGACTGGAGACTGTCATGCTGCTGCTGGTTGTGGTTACTGGTGGTGCTGCAGGTGCAGACACAGCTCCCACCTCCTTGCTCCCACTAGCAGTATTAGACTCCTCGCTGACAGGAAAGAGAATGTATCTATGTTGGGGGGGAGGGGGGAACTTGCAGCTCTCCCTTGGCTGCCAGAAGACTTGGCACCTGCCTTTCCAGCATGCTCCATGATGTTTGGTGTGCTGCAAAATGTGTGTGTGTGGATATGTGTAATAAATGTAATACATATTGTGCTTTCCTGCACAGTGATGACACATGGTCAGGGCAAACAGAGATTTCTTTTTGTGGGGGGAAAAAAAAAGACAGACTAACAAGAACATAAGAGGATTCTGGGGGAAGAATAAGCTGAAAGGAATGGATAGCAATAGGGATGACAGGCAAGGGTAAATAGGAAAGGACTGGAGAGAACTTGGTGGCAAGAGACTACCTACTACCAAGCCAGAGCCCTTCAGACACTGCTACTGCAACAGTGAGATAGACAGCTCACAAAAGGCACACAGATGAGTTCACACAGCCTTACATGTTGTTTCTACGTCCCTCCCCCATAGCATTGTGATTGGAAGTTAACTCAGGGACAGATTACAGTCACTGGCCAGCTACAGATGTCAATATCAGAGCAGTTCCTCCCCCGCCAACCTTTTCAGTTTCTGTTTCCTGCATGTCTGCCTCCGAATCTTCAAACCTTTTCTGAATCGATTCAAAGGCTTTGATTCAGTTTGGACCTTTTAATGGGTCTCTCAGTTCAGTTCGGATTTGGAGTTTCGGCCACTGAATTGGGCTTAATCTCCTCTGAAACAAATTGGCTACTGAACCTTTGCACAGCCCTATAAGACATACTCATAGTTATCAAATCTAAAACAATGAGTCCACCTGGCAGATTACTGCTTCTAATAGCTTGATTTTTTAAAACATGAATTGTCACAATAACTAGAATAATTATTCCACTATTTCAACTATTTCCAGTATTTGTGCAAAGCAGACTACTTTCTGTCAATGTCCTTAGCAATTACTGTAATGTTATTCTACAAATTTTCAAGACCTACTGTTATACAATGTACTAAGTAATATGGCTTTAATTTATTATTTTAATTATTGTAGGGTCTAGAGTACCCACTAATGGAAAAGAACCTCATTGTTGCCCTATGCAGGGGGATCTCAACACTCTTCCCGTGGCACTATAGCAGGCAGGACAACTGTACACCTCCCAGCAAAGGACATTGGCCAAGCTGCCTCAGCACTTCACAGTTAAACCCACATAACTGCCAGCACAGCAGAAGAAGCAGAGCTCAGCCACTGCCAAGTTTAGGGGGCATACTGCCAGGCAGCAGATAGGTGGAGAGCCTTACACAAGCTTCACAAACTACCACAGACCAGAGCTACCTTTTGCTTTTTCACAGGCACCCTCTGAGAGAGGAACTTTTTGGAGGAGGTTCAGCCCTCATCCCACAGCATATCAAGGAGCCCTCTTCTGATGGCTAAAGACCAATTGTGGGTCTATGCCCCAGAGTTTTTCAAAGAGTTCATGGGGGTTCAGCTCCTCAGGAAGCAGAAAAGCTCCATCTCCCATCACTGGGGGACAAGCAAGGCAGCTCTCCCACTGAGACTTATGCAAGTCTTGCACTAACTCATCCTGCTAGAGGATTCCTACAGCTAGGCCATAGCTGCCATGCACCGGTGTCTGTGCTGAGGCACATGCTCCTGCCCCCAACATGCCAAAGCCCTGTGCCTCCCATGCCTGTCTTCCTCCTGAAATCCAAGGTAATCCATCTAGCCACTTCCATCTAGCCATCCAAGGTAGTCCTGGACACTCCTTTAGCCCCACAGAGCACCCAGCCACACTGACTCCAGGGGACTGGCTCACTCTTGGATCTGGGTGACAAAGCCCAAAAAGATCTGCTACAGTTGTGGCTCACACAAGGGAAATTACATAAGGCCACCCAGAGCTCATTAGATCAGCTACTCCACAGGTGAGTTCTGGGGGTTGGAGGTGGATACATACTTTAGGGGTGCAAGAGCATGTCATTTGATCTCCAGCCACCCCCACCCACTCCTTCCACAAAAGTTCCACCCTCTTCCCTATCCCAGTGACCAGGCATCCACTGCTACCCCAAGAGCTAGGGACAGACATTACACATAAACAGGTTTAAGTGATCAGAAACTGGTTTAAACCTGTTACAGAACAAGTGTTCAGTACACATAAACCAGTTTGAAAATGGCTGAAACTGGTCTGCGATAAACTTAGTTGAATGTAGTATAAAACTTAACTAATTTGAGTCAAACCAGTTTATACAATGTCTGTTCCAGACCTCCTGTTTAACTCAAACCAGAGTCCCCTAGCAACCCAGATGCTTTGCAGTCCTGGGCTGTGTTCTCTGCTCCGAAGCAGGGCTGGCTCCACCCCTCTGTTCCCTGGCTGGAGCTCTGGCAGAGACTGCAGGCACAGCATGGTCTGCCTGGCTTCCCCCTCCCCTCCACCTCCGTACCACTCACTGCTCATGCAGGGATTTCCCCGGCCCCCTCCCACAGCATAGATCATAGCCAGCAGGTGGTATACTAGCTAATGCTGAGAGGTGTCTGTGTAAGCAGACAGGACAAAGGCAGACAGAACAGTGTCCACTTAGGGCTTTTTGGAGCTAATCAACAGGTCAGCTAGTAATGTCCCTCCATTCCTTCCTTGGAAAAAGCTGTTTAAGAGCTTGAACTAATGAGAGAGGCTTTTGTTTTCTTGATGGGATGCTAAATGCTCTGTTATCAACTCCCTGTGTAACTCTGCTGTGTAACTAAATGCTGTGCAATTCCCTGATTGTTTCCTCGCTGGTCAGGAGCACCGAGGGGGGGGGAACCCCTCCCTAATCAGGGCACCCTGCTAGGGCCTGGCCATGCCCCCCATCAGCTCAGCACCATGAAAGGAAAGGGAGGGCTGCTGTAGCGCCCTCCCAGTTTCTAGCCTGAGCCACAGCAGGCACGTGCTTGCATTTCTTCAGTCCAGAGGGGATGTCTGTACAGTTACAAACTGGTTCAGTCTAGCCAGGTTAGACTAACCAGCAAAAATTGAATCAAGTCAGGCTCAGGCTTTTTGAATGTCTGTCCCTAACCAAGGGGTCCCCAGCCTGTTTAAGTGCACCCATTCCCAGGCCTTCGTTGGCTATCCCAGCCATACCTAAACTGTTCCTGTGTCCCCCTAAGGCCTTATCTACTCTCACCCCCAATCCATACAACTATCCTACTTGCTCTACAACTGTCTGCCTGCTCTGCCTAGGATTTCTCTCAGTTGCATCTCTCACACTACCTGGCTCTGCTCTGTCTGTGTGTCATACTCCCTACTCCCCCCAGAGCCCCTTATATACGTGCAAATTGGCTGCAAAGGGATGCAGCAAATGTACCTGCTGAAAGCAGCAAACCTCTGCTAGGCATTGTTTTTGCATAACAATGGTTTTCAGCCAGTGTACAGCCCAGGCAGACTGCACATAGGCAAAAGAGAATTTCTCCAGGGTGTAAGTGACCACTGTTGCCTCCACAAATCACAGGACGCTATACAAGGCAAGCTCAGTGGCCATGCAGGCAAGTTACTGGGTAAACTGTATCTACACAGTGCACTTAAACCCTCAAAGTATGACTGAACTATGGGAAAATAGCACTGACATGGGCAAGTATGCAAGAGGCAATTAAGTGGCACTTCATGCATCAACTTGGCAAAACAGGATTCTCCCCTAGTGCTTTCCAAATTTGTCTTAGTTCCCAAAAAAACGGATCTCCCTCTAGTGAATTTATTTCAAATTACAGACATTTGTTCTATACCCAACAAGTCAAAAAACAAGTGCTGCATAGTATTAAATATGACTCATTCATCTCATTATTAAAAACCCATTCAATATAATATACACTACAGTAAATGCCAATACTTATAGCAACAACATTAGGGTGAAAATAAGCAGGGCTCTTGCTAAAATTAAATCAGAATACAAAGAAAAACAACTTACTTTTTTGAGAGCACAAACTTTTAGAACTTTCTCATATTTTTCTTTTACATATTCTTTGTCAAATAGAATGTTACTCCGCACTGTGCCAGAAAAAACCCAGGGCTGTTGAGAAACATAGGCAATTCTTCCTCTAACATTTATTAAACCTTCATCTTTAGGCACTTCACCGAGTACAGCACTTAGTAGAGAAGACTGAAAGATATTTTTTAAAGAGTTAAAACCATTTCTTATGAAGGCAATAGACAAAATTCAGAAAGACTCCTCACACACTATATGTGTGTTCAGAAAATAAATTCTGCACTTTATGCAAAAAAGGCGTGATAAAAAATTTCAAAGGCATCCAAGCTTCTGTAAATGGGACTTAGGTTTCAAAGTCCACTAAGTATTGTTGAACTTTTGTCCTTTACCTGAATTACTGATTGCATTTAAGAATATAATTTTGACAATTTACTAAAAAGCATTTTATTGCACTAAAAGTGTCACTTAAATTAAAGCATACCAGGCTAAATTTAATAATGCAATGGATTTAAAATTTTTTAAATTTAACTTGTTTATTTAAATAAGTACAAATTCAATAATACATTTCAAATACATCCAGAAAGTAAAATATCTGGGAATGTACACTTCAAACTTTATTCCTCACTGTAAGTGGACTTTGCAAGCTGGTATGCACATATAACTTCTAACACCACAAAACATAAGAACGGTGTTTGTGTATTTTCAAGTTCATAAGTCTACAATGTATACAGTCAGTAAAACTGTAAAGCAACAATGCAAAATAGAGCAATGCATTAAGACTTACTTTCCCAGCTCCTACAGGGCCAATCACAGCCAATAATTCTCCTGGTCTGACAGTAAATGAAAGCTGTGCAAGTGTTGGGACTCCCACACTCTAAAAGTATGTTAAAGAGAAGAAAAAACACATTTTCATTATCTGGAAAATACATATCCTCTTTAATACAGCGGAATGATGCATATACATTCAGAAATAAATCTCAACTTAAATAGATACTTTAAAATTCCTTAAGTTTTATCTATTTCTAGTCTATATCTACTTTACCTTATATAGTTTATACATAAGGATCTCTGGACATGCTTTGAATCTCTGCACCCAAACCACTACTGTAATATTGTCTGTTTTACTAGAACTGGAAAGCATACCTTAACCTATAAGTTTTTCTAAATGATAAATTCTAAGGACCTAATGCAGCTACTATTGATGTCAGTGGCTTTTGAATCAAGGTATGCTTCTAATCTGTATCTTCCACAGCACATCAACTAATAATTTAACTACAACAATTCAAATAATAAGAAGTATAAATAAAAATAGATGGTGTTACAACAGTGAGAAAGGGCAAACTACATTCAGCCAGTGTAAGAGAAGAGGAATGAAATAAGAGGTCAGCACTTTCAGTACAGAAGGTGATTATGCCTCAAATCTAACATTACTGCCTCCCGCCCCAATCATTAGCCACTTCTGAAAATGTAAATCAAATAAAATCAGTTTAGTTTCTTTGCAAATATTTACAGGGACCGAATAATTCCGTTTTTGTTTTTTAAGAACGTAACAGGGAAGTCAATCTTGTCTCTCAAAGTTCACATAAGAATAGTACCTCTACATTATTTCCAGAGCAGGATAGTACCCGAAAAGTAAAATACATTCCTTGCTGATCTTGAACTCTATTGGTGTGCAGAATTTTTAAATTTTTTTTAGTTGTATTATCCTCCACTAGGTGGCAGCATCAGGACATTTTTGACAGTACGTTACAGGTTGATTTCTCAAGCAGACAAACATTATCAGCTGGTAATGATTTCACTGTAGTTACCCCAATTTGAGCCAGATCTCCAGCTAACATAAATGTTTATTTTAAAGAGAAAAATGTGGGCATTGACTTGTAGATGTGGGCTTCAGTCCGCATGCCCCAGCTGACCTGCTGCTGCACTTTGGCACTGCCTCAAATGGCCACAAGGTCCTCGGTTTTTCCTGCCAGCCAGTTGAGAGCCCCAGGATCAGGGAGGTTGCCATGTCTACAGGGCTGCCACTGCCAGGAACTGCAGGCATGTGCACCGTGAGGTTCCGAGAGCAAGGTCAAGGGTTTGCTCAAGTGCCAGAAATAGCACATGCCCATGCCGCAGGGACACAATGCCTAGTGGCCAGGAGCAGGCAGCAGAGCCCTATGGCTCAGACCAGGGCTGTGCAGCACTGCTGCTGCCCAGATAGGCCCACTAAGGTAACTCCCAGTGGCCAGGAGCAGGCAACAGCTGGCCTCAAGCCCCAGAGAGCAGGATAAATGCCAGGCAGGGGCTGCTGAAGAGCCGCCCCTTGCCCCATGGCTGGAGGGGATCTCAGCCATGGTGTTCTGTCCCTGGCTGGAGTTTGGCCCCCAGTGGATTGGCTGATCAGGAGCAAATCTGCTTAGAGTGGCTCTAATTAAAGAGCCACAGTGTCTTGTGTATCAGCGTAAGTCAGGTGGCAAGTGCCTTATGCGGGGAGGGGCCTAGAAATAGCTGTTACTGCAGCTGACAGCTGGGAGCTCCAGCCCGTACTGCCCTGTGCACTGCCCTGGCCCCAGCTGCCCTGCTACACCTCCATTGCGCTGAGGCCATGCTGGTTCCTACACTGGCTCCATCCCCACTGACATCCTGCCCTAGCTTGCTCTCCTCTACTTGCTCACCACTCCTGTCAACACAGGGTTATGGAGGGGGCTCTGGTAGTTGCTGTCTCTTGGCCTTTCATCCCAGTGTGAGTAATTATTTATACAGTCAGAATCAACATGGTCTATAGTAAAATTAAATAGCTGATTAAATAAAATTAAACAGTTGATTTAAATATGGTGTTTATGGTCATTTCTATAAAAAGTTGGGCATCAGGCCCTTGGTCAGGAACATAACCCCCTATTATAATATTGTTTCTATGGGAAAATCAGATTCAATTTACAAAGCCTTTTCCAGGAATGTAACCCGCTGTAAATGCAAGGACTGCCTGTACATGAGAACTAATACAAAAGCTTCCACACAGAATTATTTACACAAAGAATACTTGTAGCACCAAGTACAATATAGTTTTATATACACACACACTTAAATGGAGTTTTGTGAAGAGAAAATTACCTTATCCCAATAACAAGTCAAGTCTTGAACATGAAGCAAAATCCTCTCATTGTTACTCTGCAGCTGTGACCTTAAAGTTGAAATCTCATCAAGGACCAGAAAGTTCTGTAGTAAAAGAAAACACAAGGAAAGGAAGGGAAAAATGGATGGTTTCTGAACATAGGGTATACAAATCCATGTTATCTGTGTGAAAAATACTCCAACCTCAATATCATGTTACTGAAGCCAAGTCCAAGGATTTCAAATTAAATTAACTGCATGCGTACCTATTTTACTTACAGGTTCATCCATAAGTGTATATTTCATAGTTGAGGGAAAAAACCACACTTGTTTTATTTCTGGATTTCTCTCTCATGAGAAAGTCTGTATCACAATAAGAAACCCTTACCTTCCATGCAGAAAGGAGGCTCTTCCACACCTGTAACATCTTCACCTTCCACCCTCCTCTACATTGGGTTGATCATTCAATCAAATAAAATAGCATAGTGTCTGGAGGTTTTTTGTTTTTTTCTATTTGGTTTATTAATGAATTCAACTTATCAAATTTTATAACAAATTTAACATTTAAAGATATATTCAATCCCCTAAAACATACATAAAGACAGATATGTATCTTCTATCTACATTAAACCAAGTCACTGTTCACAGGAGTCTTCTGTTGTTTTTTCTTCTTCCTCCAGGCTTTGACAGTTTAATATTGTGATGCATCTTTGACCTAGTCAAAAACAGGACAGGAGTGAAGATGATGGGATCACTTCTGCTCAGCTCAACTCTTGCTCTAGTCTTTGTTAATGCACCTTCTTAGCCATCTACACTTCAACCTGCCTGGCACTAGAGTTCAGGGCAGAGAAGATAAGGCTTCAAACAGTACTGTCCAGAGTCAAACAACAGGCAAGGTTGGCAGGGGAGAGGGGAAACCAACACCCCCAGGACTAGTCCTATCCACTATCTAAGTCCAGCAGTCCCTCTAGCTTGAGCCCTAAAACACTATAAATATCCACAGTGTGAGATTGTGCTCTGCATGTTTAACAAACTTCCTAACTCTACCCTCCAAATTCAAGTTAATTCACATTCCTCCAGCATCCCAGGATGCTTTGCATCTCTCCCACAAGCACCCCCCTCACAAGGCGGGTGGGCTAGCCTTGGCCCAAGCCGTCTGGTCCAGCAGACCAGGGAGGTGTACTCTAGTGCTCCCCACCTCCACCCACCCCGGCTTCCGCCTGGGCCACTGCAGACATGTGGCTGCATTTCCAGAATCAACAGTGAATGTCTGTGACAGGCTAGCTGGCATTGACCTAGCCCAGGGGTTTTGAAAGGGCAAAAGATGATTGGAGGACTTGGGATTCCCTTTCCTCACCACTCAGGCCCCAGAGACTCACCCCTCATGTCCCCTGATTGGCCCCTTGGGTCACTTAGAGGGGGATAAAAGGGGCAGCATGACTGACTCAGGGAAGAGACCAGTGAGGGACCATGAGGAAGGAGCTTCAAAGAGCTGGCAAGAGCTGAGCCAGTGGGGCAGAAGCAGTTGCCCCAGAAGAGCCTGAAGGAGCAGGACCTGCAGGCAGCAGTTGGACCCTCAGCAGCATGGTGTGTGGCCGGCAAAGAGGCTTCTTGCTGGGTTTCAGGATCCCTTATGAGAGGCTGTGGCTGGCAGGAGAGGCTTCCTGCTGGGCTCCAGGATCCCCTACGAGAGGCTGTGGCCAGTAGGAGAGACTTCCCCGCTCCAGCAAGGATCTGAGCAGAGACCTGAGGGGTTCACAGCTCGGCTACCAGCTCCTCCAATCAAAGACCGGGCAGCTCGACATGAGGCTAGGCTCCAGGAAGATCAAGACCCATAGCAGCTTGAAGCACTGATGGCTGTGTGGCAGTGTTTCTGCCTACCATGTGAAAGATCCAAGTTCAAGTCCCATCTCTGGTGACTTGGGGTGAGTGAACTAACAAGGAGAAATTCCTCTTGCAGTGGAAGGGGCCATTGTGTTTTCCCCCTTCCAGGTACCTAGGCCCTATATTTCTTTGTCCTTTGACATTTTGTATTTTGTGCCTTTTTATATTTCCCCAACCAGTATTGTTTGCTCTGCTGTTTGTGTTTTATATTTTGTTAACCCTGTCTTTTGTCAATGATTGTAAGTGTCTAACCTTTGTTGAATCCTGCCCCCTTGGGGCATTGTAGTGTCCACTATACCCCCGATTATGCCTGTTATGTTCCCAGTATTGTTCCCTCATTAAAAGGTATATAGTTAAGTCCCCAGTGGTGGTCTGGCTCTGCTCTATAGGGGGAGGAGTGTCCCTACACCTCCCACAGCACTTGTGCACCTACTTTGATCCCTTCAATTGGAGAGGGGGTACCTTTTTGGAGTACCACCCGGGTTACATCTGTCTACTTACTTGTCAATTCAACTAACCTGCAAAAATTGAATCAGTTCAGCCTCGGGCTTTTTGACTGTCTGTTCTGAGCCTACTTGTGCTAGCTCTAATATGTTTCTTAATCTATATGCATAAACAATCACCTACTTAAATTATAAAAATGTATGTATGCACACCAACATATGGGAGCTTCTACTGTAATCAGCTAACACAGCAATCAAATATATATATATATATAATTTTCTTCTCACAGAAAAAAGAACTTGTTACTTTTGGGCATTTGTACATGCCACAGGGATTTATTTACTTTGGTATAATTCTTCCTAAATTGAAGCGCTGCGTCTTTAAAAACACCACTTCAATTTACGGTGAAGTAAATCCTCATGGTGTATACACACGGGTCAGGCCCGACCCTTACCTTCCTCTCTGGCAGAGGGGAGGGGAGGGAAAGCTGCTGACAGGCCAAGTGGTCCCAGGGGAGTGGGGGAGCTGGTGTTTCCCTTTGCGGCAGCTGTGGCACCCAGCAGGCAGCACCCACCCACAAGCACCCGGCCTCAGCGGTCCCAGAGGGCACCGCAGCTGCAAAGGAAAGCACCGGGCCCGTGCAGCTCAGGCAGGCAGGCTTGGGGGGGAGGGGGGAGATCAGGCTCACCGCTTTTTTTTTTCCCCTTCAGTGGAGCCTGCTGCATAGGCTACTGCCAGGCTGCCTATACAGGTTACCTGCTCAGCCCCTGAGATGCACAGGGCCTAGTGCTTCTCTCCATGCCAAACTAAACCAGATAAATAAAAGGCAGAGAAGTTCTGCATCCCAAAGTCATTTAACATGCATTACACCACCGACATGTACAAACAGCCTGCCATTAAAGCGCATTTCGCCACCACCATGTGCAAACAGCTGCACCATTAAAGTGGTGCAAAAGGGCATTAAGCCGCTTTAAAGGCCAATTTTGTGGCATATGCAAATGGCCTTTGTCTTGTGTTTGCACCCTATGTTGTTGACAAGACTACTACAGAGTAACTTATCCCAGCTACTTTCCATGATTGCCATGGCAATACAAAGTATATGGACTACACAACTCTACTTCTCCACATTCCTTTGCACACAACCAAATTCTCCTTTATTCCATATCCTCCATGCACCTGTTTTTTTCCAGGTGGTACCATATATAAAGGTATTCCATTCTGGACACCAGCTACATTATGGAAATCCAGAACTCTACAAACCATATTAAGAAATCATTTTTGTTGGAAATGCTAAAGTATATGATGGAAAGTAAAGTAGTAAATATATCATAATGAATTAAATCCAAACACTGTACCTTGATTCGCCGTATGCTAACTACTGCTTCAGATGCTCTCTCAATAGCCGCAGGGAAGAAGAGAGTTACTGTCAGTCTTACTGCACCATACAGTGACACTGCAACAAACACCCGACTTGCAGAGATAACATTGCCAAGTAGAACATATGTCATGAAAGTCATAAAAACTGTTATTTTGCTTGCAACAAAGAAAGATGCCAAGTTCAGTCCTCGAAGGTAGGAGCTTTTAAGAACCGTGGAAATTTCCTTCCTAAAAATGCAAAACAAAATTCACCAGATTCAACACCATTGGTATATTACATCATTCATAAGGCTCCTTTCTCAATGACTACTGCTTTCAACAACACAAAACACCTCAGTATCAGTAGCAGCATTTTATTATTAAGTACTAGAATTTTTTTTTTAAATCCTTTGTGCTAAGATGCAGTTAAAAAATGGACAAGCATTAACTGAAAGAAAATGTTGTGCTTGGGAAATACAACAAGAACAGAGACTTTCAGACAAAGATAAGAATAATAGTCAAATACAAGTTTCTTTAGTATGAGCTACAGCAGGGTAGTCCACCTGGCAGCTCACGGAGCCACAAGGGGAGCAAATCAACCACACACTTGTGGCACCAGGGGGAGGGGCTCACATGGCAGCAATGGTGGGGGGTTTATGGTACTCGCATGGTAGGAGAGCTGCAAGCAATAAGAGGCCTGGGCCCATAACTTGTGTAGCATGCAGCCTCTGGCCACACTGAAGTTGGGAAGCCCTGAGCTATAGAAAAGGAAAGTGCCAAATCAAAGACTATTTTATTCAAAGGTAACATAACAAAATTAAGTATTATCATTTTTCAAGATACAAAGCATCACTATGAACTGTTCTATTTGCCAACAATTTTAATAATTTCTTCACTTGTGCTTAGTTTGTTTTTTTGTGGGTTTTCTTCCAGGAGTAAATACAAATATATTCTGTTACATAGTCTGAATATCCAGAGACACTCTCTTTCACCATTTGCAGTATCAAGTAAAGTTAATCATATAACGCCTATTAAGAAATAAAACAGTTTAAAAATGATGCAGCCTTGAGCTCACCAGTGATCTCACCTATTAAGTGATAAGCTCACCTATGAAGTGCTGGTTCAAAATAACCATGTAGTTGGTTAACTGTCTAATCAGTTGCTAGCTAAATCATAGCACCTTCCATAGTCCCTATTTTTATACTAGATTTTCCATCTCTATAGACTTAGACCCCTTTTTCTAGCTTTTCCCTCTAAGAGATGTAGTTTCCCCTACTGGCAGACTGGATCTGTGACCTCTATACCAGTTATTTTGCCAGCCACTATGTCAGCTAACTGGAATTTGGTAGGCAGATTTAGTCTACAAAGACACAAGCCTGTTCAACTAATGTGCCTCCCTGTAATGACTTGAAGGCTTTTGGAACAGATATTTTTTCAAACTTGAAAGCTCTAAAAATTTAGCTTTAATTTCCAATTGTAAGATTAGTTACCCAGTCTGATCCTAGCTACTCTGCCCAAGTTCACAATATGGGATATGAATACCAACAATTATTCAGGCAGTATAAACAATTAGTGTATGACAAGTGTGATAGTTACTTTGCTCTGCATTTTCTAATTCCAGCAAGATTCTGCTTACATTTATTCATACCTATTACTATTTTTTTCCAGTTTATTTTCTACTAATTAGTGAAATTCTAATCAGATTGCTTTCCTTTGGGACCTCCATTTCAGGGTTAGGAATTCAAGTTGTAGATCATCCCACATAAATCTAATGAATCTCTCACTTAGAAGAAGGATGTTCTTCTACAGGAGTTAAGCAACTTTCCCACTATAGTTGCCAAACTGGCTGTATTGACAGACTTTGAAAGAGTTCAACCCTCTCCCACCAATTTACGAGCTCACAACTGCTGACCTATTCTCCAAAGTACACTGTTAACAACATTCATATACAGACTACTAGAGCTGGGCCTAATCCAATTAGTTTCTAAATTCCTAAATAAAATGGTTTCCCATCCTTCATTAATCCTTAATAATCCTTTCTGAAATCCATAGAAAATGATGGAGTTTTGTGTGTTATTCCTTAAAAAGATAGTACGATACTCAGATTATCTGTATTAAACTGCCTGAAAGCACAAAGTTAAATCAAAAGGTTGGCTTCAAGAGAGAAACCAGCAAAACAATGTCAAGGGTAAAATGCTATCTTAAGAAATGCCAAGGACCCTTGAAGAATCAATGGTGAAACTCCAGACTGGGAAAAACCCCTTTCTGCTTCCATTCAAGCTAGAACAGCTTACTCTTTTCAAGGCTAAGCTAAGTATCCTCCCTATTGATTTATTCTACTACAGAACCGCAAGCGCTGGAAAGGGGTGGGGATTCAACAAGTTGGGAGAAGCTGTTGAGAGAGTGTTACTGAGAAACGAAGGGAAAGGGATCCAGAAACTACAACAAACAGGCAATTTGCTTCTTCCATCCTAGAGATGGAGGTAGCTGGGAGATTGCAATGAAGGATTAAGACAGGTGTTGGCAACATTTTCTGGGTAGCATGACCCAGCTCAGGTCTAAAGGGGGTCAGTGCTAAGACCCAGCCACTCCCAGCACTTCTCCCCACCACCCAGCCATGGCACACACGAATGAAACTCCCTCCCACCTGATGAAGGCAAAGCAAACCCCTCCACCTCTCTGCCAAACACTACCAAAGCCCCCACTCCACAGGGCAGATCTGGCACTGTGACTGAGAAATATAGACCCAGAGTAACTGAACCCCGTGGCTACACACTTCAGAAAAATCTGAAAGCCAGGCCTATCACTTGAGTTCATGCAAGAGATACAAAAAGGGATCAAAATATAGCATCTGCAGGTTCTAAATTTATAGCTAAGATAAGAAAAAACCTGCTTCCACACACTTGCAGTGAAAAGAATTCTGCAAATTAAGGTATGGAGATATAGCAGAGATGGCTGAGGGGATGAAATTCTTTAGGAATATAGAGACCCAATGTATAGTCACACTTAGGTGAAACAAGATTCATAAATATCAAAGGAATTCTTTTTTCTGCCCTTAAGAGAAACTTCCCTCTTTATGTACAGATGAAGGAAAAAACTACAAAGCTATACAAGGGGGTTTTTAATGAAATCCTTGCATTTTAAAGCAGCAAAGAAAGTATTTAACACCCAAAAATGCATACAGATCAAATATCCAGGTCTAACTTTCAGTGCAACATTGATTACCTTCTTATAGTGTTCACAAGATCTGCAAATGCTTTTTCCCAGGCATACATCTTTATTATCTTTATACCAGTTATGACTTCATTCATGGTCCTTATCCTAACATCTGTAAAGGCTGCCGTTCTGCTCCTGTAATTGATAGAAAAAAATTACAGATTCTTAATTAAAATGACTTCTGTATTACCTTAGGCTGCTTGTGGGCATTTAAAAACAAAACAAACAAACAACACGTGTTTTATTTTAAACTCGGTGTACTCCTGTGCAGAGGCCAGTGCATGCTCAGAAGAGGCAGTCCATTAGTTGAACCAGCTTGCCCAACATCTGTATAGATTGGATGTGTTAGTGGCTGTTGATTGTAACCATGTTGGTCTAAGGACACAGGCAGACAAGGTTTTTTGGGAATATGTGATATCTTTTATTAGACCAACCGAATAGCTGGAAAAATTATTCTTTGCGAGCTTTCAGGCATAAACCCCCTTCTTCAGGCATAGGTTGTTTGTGCCCAAAAACTTGCAAAGAACAATTTTTCCAACTATTTAGTTGGTCTAATAAAAGATATCACATATTCCCAAAAAACCTTGTCAGCACGTTAGTGGGGCTTTTTTGGCTCTTTTATCCAATAGCTGACTGAATCAGCTATTAGATAAAAGCACCAAAAAGCGCTGCTGAAACACCCATTCTATATAGAATCTATATAGAATAGATTGGCTGCTGAAGCACCCAATCTATATAGAATCTATACAGAGTCAAAGTAACACACCAGTTCTTCTGGTAAAGCGTGTTTTTTGGAGGGAATTTTTATTTGTTTTTTTTAACATCTGAAAGAAGCAATAGTTTACAAATTAAACCAGGTTTCTCCTTATTTACTAAAAAAACAGACTCCTATACTGTAAGACTGTATTACATATAGCCCAATATTACCTAAGCTGCCAGGGAACTGACTAGCATTTGCACGTTCCAGAATTCTTTGTACAAGACCAATCACATGTATTACTGTGCACCTTCATGTGTGATTTTATGCTCTATTAAAGAAAGACAATATTTCTGCACAGAAAAGAAAATTTAATTTTAGCCACCATATGAACAATGGCCAAGAAAAGTTAAGCTAATAATGAAAATAGGCCTCAAAGCATGACATACAGAAGAATTTTTCCCATGCTTTAATAGACAAGATTTTAAAAATATAATGGGCGTTCAAGTAGCAAAACAATTTGGTTTCAACATATCAAGAGACGTCCAGGATCACATGCTGAGGCAACATCTTTCTGTAAATACAGAGCAGGAAAACAGAGACTTTTGAAGGTATCATAGAACAGAATTAAGTTAAATTCCTGCTA